CGCGACGGGACCGCGAGGGCGGCGCGACGGGGTCACAAGGGCGACGCGACGGGGCCGCTAGGGAGGCGCGACGCGACGGGGCCGCTGAGGCGGCGCGACGGGGTCGTAAGGGCGGCGCGACGGGGCCGTGAGAGGGGAGCGCGACTCGGGCAGAGGCTGAGCGCGCTCCGGGCAGGAAAAAAAAGTTGGTGGGCCCTAGGAACAGTTCCCACAGGGGAACCTGCTCTATACCATGTGAGAATGAACGAGGAATGAAAAAGACTAAGGGAAAGTTGGGTACAAGTACAAACCCTAGAAAGCTGTACCCCACTATAGCCTACAGCAGCTAAGTCATATAAATCTGACAGCGGGCTCTCGAACTTCAACGAGATTCTCGCGCTCGCCGAGAAAATCGACATTTTACGCCGTCCGAGACCGGGGTCCTACTATGAACATCGTCCTCGGGGACCGATCGAGCACGCCAGTGTACACGCTGTGGCGACGAATGCAGCTGCCGCGCCGTTTAAGGGGCGCTGCTTTGCTTGCAACAGGCCGGGCCATCGCAAGAGCGAATGCCCAGAGGAGCTAAGGCACCGCGGAGCAGAGCAGGGGAGGGAGTCTCCAAAGCAGGGAAACGCCAGCAGTCAGTAGGAACCGGGCCAACTACTGACGAGACTGCCTGCTCGCCCAACCCCACCGACCCTCACCGAGTCACAGTACCGATTCATGCTATCGATCGGACTCGGACGAATAAGGAGGGTACAGCAACGGATTGCCCAGTACTGATCCACGGGAAAATACAGGGAGCAGCAGTGAAGATTTTTATCGACGGAGGAGCAAGCCACAGTTTAGTTAATACCGCAACCGCACGAAAACTGCAGCGGACACTTAGCCGTTGCTTACCGGAGATAGACGCACGCTCAGTCGACGGCACGCCACTGGCCATACGGGAAAAGGTAGAGAGAGCCAAAGTCCGCTGCGGGGGAAATTTCGGGTTTACACAGGAAATGCTCGCAACGACACTAGATGGGCACGATATTTTACTGGGACGTGATTGGCTGCGATGGTATAACCCGCGAATTGACTGGACAATGGGTAGCTGCACCGTGCGAAGTAGTGGTAACTGGGTCGAGCTACCTCGCTGGCAGTCGCCCGAGTCTTCAACGGTACACGTCAACGCCATCACAATGAAACGGGCTGTCGCTGCTGGAGCTGACGTGTACGCAGTAGACATCGCAGTAGTAGAGGAAGCAGAGCAGCCAAGTGATTTCAAGAAACTGCTGGCAGCCGTACCGCCCGAATTACAGGAACTGTTGAAACGATACCCCGGGATTTTCCCCGACGACTTACCGGAAGGATTGCCACCTCAGCGAGCACATGACCACCGAATCGAATTAGAACCGGGGGCACAGCCAACCGTACAGCGCCAGTTCAGACTGACACAGCCCGAGCTCGACGAACAAAGGAAGCAGTTAGATTACCTGTTAGAGAAAAAATTCATCAGACCGAGCTCGTCACCGTTCGCCGCACCGATACTATTCACGCCGAAAAAAGACGGGGGTTTTCGCATGTGTATCGACTACAGAGCACTGAACAGGGTAACAGTCAAGTCGCGGTACCCCATTCCCCGCGCCGACAAACTGATCGACCAACTGCGAACAGCACGGGTTTTTTCGAAAATCGACTTACGGGGAGGTTACCACCAGATTAGAATCGAACCATCGGACTGCGCCAAAACAGCTTTCAGGACTAGGTACGGGTCGTTCGAGTACACTGTGATGCCATTCGGGCTGACCAACGCACCGTCGACTTTTCAGATGACCATGAACGAGGCATTTAGGCCGCTCTTAGATAAATGTGTCATAGTTTACCTCGACAACATCCTAGTTTACAGTCGGGATAAGCAGCAGCACTTAGCAGATCTGGAAGCAGTGTTTAAGGTTTTAGACGAGCACAGATTACTGACCAAGGGTTCCAAGTGCGAGTTCTTCCAGGATAGGTTAGAATTTTTGGGGCACGTTATTTCGGAGGCCGGAGTTGAAATCGACCCAAAGAAGCTGGATACGGTAAAAGCGTGGCATCCCCCGACGAACATCACGGAGCTGCAGAGTTTTTTAGGGTTCGTTAATTATGTGCGTCGGTTCGTCCCCGATATGGCACGGTTAACTGCCCCACTGACGGACTTACTACGGAAGGGGGTCGCTTTTACGTGGGGGGAGAAAGAGCATGCTGCCTTCTCTGCCCTGAAAAATGTTCTCTGTTCACCGCCCGTCCTGCGCATCGCCGACCCACACCGCCCATTCGAAGTAGTTACCGACGCAAGCAATATCGCCATCGGAGCTGTACTGCTACAGGATTTCAGCAATGGCCTACAGCCTATCGCATACGAGTCACGAAAACTGCATCCGCCCGAGAAAAATTACCCGATACACGACCGCGAAATGCTTGCGATCGTGCACGCGTTCAAAGTATGGCGCTGTTACTTGACTGGCGCGGACGTGACAGTACGAACAGACCATAAATCACTACAGTACCTTCGCGCACAGCCACACCTCAACTCACGACAGATTCGCTGGCTCGATTTCCTCGAGTCCAATTTTCACTACATGGTCACCTACAAAAAGGGAGCCTGAAACATCGCCGACGCACTGACCCGCCCCACTGCCCAGATCCACGCAATACTACTCGCACAGACAAGCCCGCTACTGACAGGCCTATTCACCCACGGGTACCAAACGGATCCATTCTTCACAGGAGGAAATTCGCAGCAGTTCGCAGCAGCAAAGGGAGTCTATTACGTAAAAACCGGGACTGACCGCATTTGGGTGCCTGGGTATACACTGCTACGGGAATTACTGTTACAGGATGCACACGACGGAGTTACCTCGGGGCATTTTGGAGTAGAAAAAACACGGCAGCAGCTGCAGCGGTATTATTACTGGCCCGAAATGTTGACCGACGTACAACGACACGTGGCATCGTGTCCCACCTGTCAGCTCATGAAATCATCACGACAGCGGCCGGCGGGACAGTTGCTGCCGATACCACCCCCAGAGCGTGCTTGGCAGCAGGTGACGATGGACTTCGTCACGGGGTTACCGGCCGGGGCGAGTGGAAACGACGCGATCCTGGTCGTCGTCGATCGACTGACGAAAATGGCACATTTCGCAGCCTGCAAAAATCAATCACAGCCGAAGAAACAGCACGCCTCTTCATCTCCACCGTCGTTCGACTGCACGGGATACCAGCCGCGATCATCAGGGACCGCGACACGAAATTCACCAGCAACTTCTGGCGGAACATGTGGCAGCAGTTCGGCACGCGACTGCAGTTCAGTTCATCTTATCACCCCGAAACCGACGGACAGACAGAACGGACAAATCAGACCATGGAACAGCTCATCAGGGCCACGTGTGACGACCCGACCACGTGGGAACAGCAACTACCACTAATCGAATTCGCGTACAACAACTCGCCATCCGCCACGACCCAACAGTCACCATTTTACCTAAACTACGGACAAGACCCGACAGTACCCATGACCCCGAATCCCGACAACCCAGTACCACGAGCACAACAGTTCGCCGAAATATTACAAGCAGCACGGACCCGGGCAGCAGACGCAATAAAAAAATCGAACATCATCGCTAAACGCAACGCCGACCGCCACCGCAGACCTGTCACTTACCAGCCCGACGACTTAGTTTTACTTGACACCCAGAACCTCCGACTGCCCATAACCCCGAAACTCCGCCCCCGATACTGCGGGCCATTTCGCATAAGCCACATGCTTACACCCGTCACCGCCCACCTCCTCCTCTCTGCTGACTGGTACGTCAGCCCCTCATTCCACGTCAGCCTACTTCGCCCTTACGTCCCGTCCACGAGCCAACTGCCACGCAATCGCCCAGCCAGCATGACAAGACCACCAACTGAACCAATCATCACCCCCGAGAAAATCCTGAGTCACAGAGTTCGCGACCCTCGAGGAGCCCGAAGGATCGAGTTCTTACTCCGCTGGAAGGACCGTACACCCACCGAAGACAATTGGGTTCCCCTGGACAGAATCGAAAACCACCCCGTCCTCACCGAGTATCTGCGCAGCCGAAATTTCAGGGATGTACACGCACTTTCGTAAGGTGGACCTCCTTAGGGGGGGGGATAGTGTAAGGAAAATCCCTTTTTCCTTACTTCGCATCCCTGCTCAACGCGTACATCACTGTAGCACCACAGTCAGCACCGTTACCACTCGCAATCCTCGCATCGACAATCCGCCCGCCACCTTCGCACGTCGCACCCCGACCTCACGGCTCGGCGGGTAACCCGCGCTCCGGGCCTCTGCTTCGACACTTTTTCCCAACCTCAGTCCCAGGCCCGTCGCGCGACAACCACAGTCCATTACCGTTACCACTGTAGTTTCGCTATATATTCTTCGCTCATGCCTTCGCTCATTGTACTCTTGCTTCGATAGTGCAATTCTCGTTCGTTCACTCAATTGCACTCGTAACATACAGCTAGCTGTGAGTGTGTTATAACTTCTTCATTTTGTCTTTCTGAGTTCCTCGGCAGCCAGGTTGATTGATAAGGGCGGTTCCAACGCGTTCGTCCCTCGTTCGTTCTGTTACTCTTGTTGCGTCACGGTGCAAAACGGTGAAGCTTGATAACCGCTGTGTACTGTCTGGAATCGTCTTGCGCCACGACGGAAGAGCTGTTAACGCCGCGCTAACTTCCTCATTCTTTTCCGCCGCCGCGCGTACAGAATGACGAGTCGGCTCGCCTCGTGCGTCTCTTACAACTCAAAAGCATCATCTTGGCCTCGCGCGCCATGTACTTCGCGTTTCGCTCCTCAATCCCAACTTAAGCTTCGAATCCTCGCCATACGCGTTCCCTCACCAGCCTTTGCTACTTAAGACTGGACCAGCGGAAACGTGTGCCAAGCAACCGTCAAAGCGGCCGGGCTCCGCCTCGCCCCAGCGTCGAGCTTGACGAGCGCAGCCTCCGCTCCGAGTTGGCTCCCCACAATGACGTGTCCCGCTGATCTCCTTCTCGTCATCGCGCTTCTCCTTTCCTCAACGTGTCAATGCCTAGCTGTTCGGCAACGTTACCGTAAGCCACGTTACTCGACCGTCTGACGAGTCGTCTGGTCGCATTCTTCTCTCCGCGTCGTTCCTCTCTCGCAGGCCCACCCTCGTTCCCTCTCTTTGCAATCGATTGCAGCGCCCACCCCCAAGTCCACGTCGCTCTACATCGTGCGCCTGCGCTCCGCCCTTCCGCTCGCCGCGTATCGCGGCGGGATAGCGAGCTACTCGGGATGGACGGACGACGACGGCGAAGATGAGGATGCTGGTCCGTCAGGTCTGCGGGCGACAGCGGCGACAGTCGCGCACGAGGCGGTGACGCTGGCTGGCAGCATTCCGCGTCGCGCGCGACTGAGCACGGAGAACCCGCAGCTGAAGGCGTATGCGCAGATGCTGGAGGCGCAGCAGACGCAGATCGCGTCTGACGTGGGCGTGACGTCAGATCGCATTGTGTACAGGTGCGAACAGCAGCGAGACAAGAAGGACACCCACTTCTCCCGTACCATTTGTACTTGACCATGAATAGTAGCACCCAATGTTTTGCTCGGGAAAAAGGGCTTCTTTGACACTTTTCTGCAAATTTTTTCCTTGCATGCGATGACCACGCTCCTTGCCATCCCCACTTCCCATCCCCCCTCTTTCTCCCCTCTCCCCTTATACCTCCTCCTCCTCTCGCCCCCGCACCCATTCCCCACGCTCCCCTGCTACTTGCTTCGCCAGCTACAAGCATGCGAGCAACGGGTTTGCAGCATCGCTGTCGCAGCAGCAGGTGTGGCGGCTGCGGCGGCACCCGGCAGTGGCGGCAGTGACGCGCAGCCGCAGCGTCGCGCCCCTCTCCATCGACTCCCCCACGTTCCTCCGCATGGGCGCCCGCGGGTCGCTGTGGCCCGCCAATGGCGGGCAGGCGAGTGCGGGCGAGGGCATGGTGATAGGCGTGGTGGACTCGGGCATCTGGCCCGAGCACCCCTCCTTCACCGATGCCGGTTTCCCCTCCTCGCGCCCTGCTGGCTGGTCAGGGAAGTGCCATGTGACGAGGGAGTTCAAGTGCAACAACAAGGTCATCGGCGCAAGGGCCTTCTACGAGGGCTTCAGAGAGGAGTACGGCGACCTAAACCTGACCAGCGATTGGTTGTCGCCCCGAGATTCGTACGGCCACGGCACGTGGTGTGCAGGGTATGTGGCCTGGCCTCCGCCTCAAGGTTGGATGCCTCTTTGAACGGCCTTCCTCCTCTTGTGAGCTCGGCACACTTCAAAGTTCAATTTGGCGCCCATTATGGTGACTCTGCTCATCTCCTGTCTCTCACCTCCACACCACCCCCCCCTCCTTCGCCGTCCTTCTCCCCCTCCTTCGCTGCAGTGCGGCAGCAGGCAACAAGGACGTGCCCGTGGCCGGCGGCGGCAGGGCGAGCGGCATGGCGCCAGCAGCGCGCCTCGCAGTCTACAAGGTCTTTTGGTATAATCCGGACCACAAGACCTTGTACCGTGCCTCACGTGCCGACATTTTCGCTGCAGTGGACCAGGCGGTAGCGGACGGTGTAGATGTCATCTCAATCTCTATCGGCGGCGTGAATCAGGAGGACACTTCTTCCACATGCCGTACCTCAATGCCAATCTCGCCGGGGTGTTTGTGGCGTACGGTGCAGGCAACGATGGTCCTCCCCGCCCCTCTGGCCGCACTATTGCAAACTTCTCTCCCTTCTACCTCACTGTGGGGGCAAGGTGAGCTCGCAGCTTCTCTGTCCTCCTTACCAACGCCCAACCATATCATCTCGTCTGCTTGCTCCCATTCTCGCCGTCCATTTATGTTTCCCTCTCCTTCTGCCCGCCCTCTCCCCTCTCCTTCCTCCCACCTTGCTCGTCCACCCTGCAGCACCATTGGCCATGGCGGTCAAACATTAGTGGCATTTACAGCATCTGCAGCTCTGAACAGCTCATCCTCCACATCAGCCACCCCGGCAGCCACTGCCCTTCCTGTCGTGGCCAATTTCTCCTCCACCGGACCCCTCGTGGACCTTTCCACAGACCCCATCGGTGCCTTCCCCACCAACAGCATCTTAAAGCCCGATATTGTCGGCCCGGGCGTGGATCTCTACGATGCATGGCCGGCTAGGAAGATCGGGAGGCCGGGGGGATACATGCGGATGCGGGGGACGTCCATGGTGACGCCTCACTTGGCGGGCATTGCGGCTCTCATCATGCAGAAGCACCCCTCATGGAGCCCTGCGCAGGTCATGTCTGCCATCTGCACCACCGCCACCACCATTGACACCAGCGGTGCTGCCATCAAAACTGCTTATGGCAAGGCTGCCACACCGTGGGATATGGGATCTGGCCATGTTTTCCCACCCAAGGTGCTTGATCCTGGCCTAACGTACGACGCTCAGGCAGCTGCTTATAGGAATTTTCTAGCCGGACAGAATCTGGCCCTGGCAAAGATGGATTTCCCAAGGACTAAGCTTATTGCAGTTCCTCCCTATGAGCTGAACCGTCCGAGCATATCAATTTCCCACTTGAAAGGGACGTTGACAGCAACGAGGAGAGTTACAAATGTTGCCGACTCGTCGTCCAGATACACGGCGAGCATAAAGCCTGCTACAGGCGTGCAGGTGACGGTTTCACCCAACAAGTTTACTATTGCTCCGGGTGGGAAGGTCACCTTCAAGGTCACATTCAAGGTGACCAAAACTTCTGACAAATTTCAGTTTGGAAGCCTAACATGGGTAGATGGTAAAGGGCACTCGGTGAGAACAGTACTTGCAGTTCAGCCCACTAAGTTATGAGTTAGTACGGTATGCATCAGGGCTATTCTTTCATTTTTGGGTTCCCTTATTACCGGTACTTACCAGTCTTGTCATTTTGGAGACCCTGATTATCAGTCTGACCTGTTACGGTACCATTACTTAATCCATCAGGGTTTTCCTTGTTTTTGAAATACCGTATAAAACCCTAGGGCTGAAGTGTGATTTTTTTAATAACCCTGATGCATACGGTGTGTTAGTGTACCTTTTTTTCTTTGTTGTCGCGATAACTTATCTTTGCCATGTCAGCCATACGATGCGACACGACTTGCTTGCTAGGGATGCTGTGCCCTAGTGAGTTCCAATCAGGTAGCTGTGTCTGTACAGGTTTCAGTGCCTGGTCCAGTTGCTGCGTCTTGCTCGTGTCGCTCACTTGCTCACCCCACCGTTTTGTGGCACCACCAGATGGGGCACCCGTCCATTCCTCGCCTGCGCGCTATGTCTAGTCGGCGTCTTGTCTTAGGCCTCCCGCGCGTCTTGCCGTCGCTGCCGCCTTCGCTTGCCCCACCCTACGGTCCCTACGTCGAGGGTCGGCTGCGCGCCACCCCTCACTCCTCCTCCCTTCGTCCGGCCACCGAGCCCTTCAAGTCTCTCCACTTGGACGTCTGGGGCCCCGCCCCTTGCCCTGGCCCTGAGCGTGAGAGTTTCTTTCTGGTGGTCGTTGACGACTACCTCGCTACACCACAGTGTTCCCCCTGGCGAAGAAGTCTGAGGTGACTTCTACGCTGATCCGGTGGTTACTTACCACTGCGGACACTCGTTGTCGTCGTGTCAGCTGTCTTCACTCCGACCGCGGGGGTGAGTTTCGCTCCGGCATTCTCGCTGGATTCTGTCACAAGCAGGGCATCCGTCACGCTTCCAGAGTCCCCGCAGCAGAATGGGGTTGCTGAGCGCCGCATAGGCTTGGTCATGGAGATTGCATGCACCTCCATGATCCACGCCCGTGCGCCCCATTTTCTGTGGCCCTACGCGGTTCGATACGCCGCTCACCATCTGAACCTCTAACCACGTGTCTCTCAGCCAGAGGCTTCACCGACCAGTCTTAAGACCGGGTCCCATGGTGCTGCGTCGCGTTTTCGTGTCTGGGGCTGCTTGGCGCTTGTTCGCGACACCTCCGCGGATAAGCTCTCCCCGCGCGCCCTTCCATGTGTCTTCCTTGGTTTCCTCGTGGACTCCTCCGACTTCACTTTTTACCAACCCCCCCTTCATCGGTTCTTTGACTCCCGCGACGTTCGTTTTGTCGAGTCAGACCCCTACTACACCCGGTACCTTTGTCGAGGACTTTCGGTTCCTTCTCCCCCTCTTTTCCTGACTCCCGCCCCCCCTCCTGCCCCTCTGGTACAGCCCCCCCCTCCTGGTACAGCCCCGTCAGGTGTGTCACACGCTACCCCTCCCCCTTCGGTAGCCCCTCATGTGCCGTCCGCTTCCCCACAGTCCTCCTCACAGACTACTGCAGACCCTGCGGGAGCAGGTGCTCGTGTCGAGGACCCTGGGGGTGCTACCTCTGGAGGGGTTGGAGGTGGAGCTGAGAGTGTGCCTCCACGAGGTTCTGGTGCCGGGGGTGCTGGCGTTGGAGCTGAGCCCGGATCTGCAGGAGGTTCTAGTCTTCAGGGAGCTGGAGTTCGCTGTCCCTGGGGGTGCTACGACTGGGGGTGCGGGTGCCCCCCCTATGGGACCGGGAGAGTCTGGGACTGGCCGTGTTGCTGTAGGTGGTGCTGGCTCTGGGGGTGGTGCGACTGGTTCTTTGGAGAGCGGTCCTGGGGCTACCACCGCTCCGGAGACTACTCCTCCCCTCCACCCCTACCCGACCCGGCACCAGGCCCGTCTTCGCCGTGCCCGTGAGGAGCAGCTAGAGTTGGAGTGAGAGGAGAGAGAGTTGGAGCGGCAGCAGCTGGAGCGACAGCGGCTGGAGGAGCAGCAGCAGCAGCAGCCGGAGCAGCAGCAGCCGCCGCAGCAGCCGCAGCAGCAAGAGCAGCAGCAGCCACCGCAGCTGGAGGAGCAGCGGTCGCAACCGCAGCACCAGCGGCAGCAGCAACCGCCACCTCCTCCTCCTGTCTCTGATCTTCGGACCCTCGGTCTCCCCTCTCCTTCTCTTCCCTCCTCCCCCTCTCCTCTTGTCTCTGGTCCTCCGCTTCCTCCTCCTGACCCCTCCCCAGCTGTTTTCACTCTTTCTCTTCCTCCGTTGTCCCCTCCTTTTCCTCACACTTGGCCCTCGCGTCGCTCTCCTCGTGCTCGTCCCTCGTCCCCTGTTCCCTTCTCTGACCTTCGTAATGCACTCATTTGTTCTAGTCCGCCTCGTTCGTCTTCTTCTGTACTACCTTTTCCTCCTGATTCGGCTCTCATTGCTTCCCTCCCTTCTCCTGTCACGGACTACTACTGCACGTACCGTCCTGTTCTCTCTCGTGTTCTCGCCTCTCTTGTTACCGACCCACGTGCTTCTCTGTCCTCTGTCTCCGCTCTTACTGCCGCAGTCACTGAGTTTGCCTCTACTCGTCGCCTTAACTACGCCACCAGTCTTGTGGCTGCTCCTCCAACCAGTCCTCTGTCCGTCAGGGTTGAGTCTGCCCTTGGCTGTGACGCCCTAGAGGACAGGCAGTTTGAGCTAGAATTCTTGGCAGCCGCTTCCCCTCAGCTCTGTGCCATGCCGCTCGCCCCTGAGGGAGACCCCGACGCCCTTGACATACCGACTCCTCGCACTTACGCTGAGGCAGTGTCAGGGCCTTAGGCCTCTCAGTGGAGAGCTGCCATGGACTCTGAGATGGCCTCCTACAGATCCACAGGCACTTACGTCGACGAGGTTCCCCCCCCTGGGGCGAACGTAGTCGATGGCATGTGGATCTTCAGGGTGAAGCGGCCACCAGGATCTCCTCCGGTCTTGCAGGCACGCAATGTGGCTAGAGGTTTCAGTCAACGCGAGGGAGATGACTTCTTTCAGACCTTCGCGCCTACCCGGAAGATGACCACTCTTCGGGTGTTACTGCACGTAGCAGCACAGAGAGACTACGAGCTACACTCTCTCGACTTCTCCACTGCTTTTCTTCAGGGTAGCCTACACGAGGAGGTCTGGTTGCGTCGTCCCTCTACCTTCACTGGCACTTTCCCTCCTGGGACCCAGTGGAGGCTGAGGCAACCGGTCTACGGTCTCCAACAGGCTCATCGTGAGTGGCACAACACCCTTCGCTCTACCCTTTCTGACCTTGGTTTCCAGCCGTCTTCTGCCGACCCGTCGCTGTTCGTTCGTCGTGGCTCCACACCGTTCTTTGTACTGGTCTACGTCGACGACCTGGTTTTCACCACTGCTGACAGGGTTGCTTTGGCTGACGTGAAGCACGAACTGCAGAAGAGACACACGCGCACTGACCTTGGTGAGCTGCGCCACTACCTTGGCCTGCAGATCACCAGGGACAGAGCCGCTCGCACCATTACACTCTCACAGCCACACATGGTGCAGTAGGTCCTTCAGCAGTTTGAGCTTCAGCACTCTACAGTACAGCGCACACCTCTTTCCGTTGACCACAGACTCACTGAACCCTTTCCTCACGAGCCGTTTGAGCCTAGTGGTCCCTACGCAGAGCTTGTGGGCTGCCTAATGTACCTGATGACTTGTACTCGCCCGGACCTCGCCTTCACTCTCAGCATCCTTGCTCGCTTTATTGCGCCAGTGAGACACCGTCCAGTTCACTGGACAGCTGCTGTGGAGGTGGCGAAGTACCTACCGACGACATCAGGCGTGGGGCTGGTTCTTGGAGGGAGACAGAACGTCGTGCTTACTGGTCACTGTGACTCTTCTTACACTGACGACGCCGAGACTTAAGGTCTACACAGGGGTACTGCTTCAGCCTGGGTTCTGGAGCTGTTTCGTGGAGGTCCACGCGTCCGTCCTCGGTCTCGACCTCTACCGTTCAGGCTGAAATCTACGCT